GAAATTCCTGGTGTCATTTGATGGGTTCTGTTGGTTGCAGTTTCTTAAATGTGCAGAAACACTGATTTTGCATGTGATGAAGTCAAAAGTAAAGATGAAATGCTCTAGAAAATCTTCGCAAGTTGTTAAAACAAATCAATCAATCCTTGCAAACTGTAGCAAGGTGATGTTCTACTCACTGAACACAGAGGTGTTTCCTCTCGCCTGGAGCCGAGCCTACAATAATTAGAGCATTTGTACTCTCACCTCCTACCTGAAGATGACCCATGACAGATTCTGACATCTGTCAAACCTGGTTCACATATTAATCATCCACAGGTTGGACAGTGGTAGCATATCATCAACATCTAATTTTTATTTCTTACTCACAGCTCTGCGTGGCTGAAAGGAAGGGACACACAACGTAATTAAAATATATAGATAAAACAAAGCTTCATAAAAATACATCTATTAAAACATATAACAAAGGTTAAAACACCAATACTAACAAGATGTAAATTTAAAATTTAGTTTAAAATTAATTGTGTGGCTTGTTGGAAGAAATAGGTCTTTAGCCGTGTTTTCAATTCTGACAGGTCATTTAACTGTCGAAGCTCTTCTGTCAGGTCATTCCACAATCTTGGGGCAACCAATGAAAAGGTTCTCTGAATGACAGTTACCTGTTAGGTTCCGGCTGGTTGGAGTAAACATTTCTCAGTGTCCAGCGCAGATTGTGTGGAAGAAGGCGATCCTGTAGGTAACCTAGATCCAAACTATGTCGAGTTTTAAAGGCAATAACGTAATTGGTAAGTAGTGGAATGATTTAGTATAGGTATAATATGCTCATTCCTAGATGTCCCGATGACCAATCTTGCTGCCATATTTTGAACCCCATCCCAAACTAGTTGATGCCAGGTTAATACCCGTAATAGTATGCACCTCTGCCATCAACTCCGCTGGGCCGGCCACGTTGTCCGGATGCCTGACCACCGTCTCCCAAAGCAGTTGCTCTATTCTGAACTTAAGAACGGAAAACGGAACGTTGGTGGACAGGAAAAGAGATTTAAAGATGGCCTCAAAGCCAACCTTAAAAACTCTGGCATAGACACTGAGAACTGGGAAGCCCTGGCCCTTGACTCCTCCAGCTGGAGATCAGCTGTGACCAGCAGTGCTGCAGAATTCGAGGAGGCACGAGTGGAGGGTGAAAGAGAGAAACATGCCAGGAGGAAGGCGCGTCAAGCCAACTCCGACTGGGACCGCCTTCCACCTGGAAACCAATGCCTTCACTGTGGGAGAAGATGCAGGTCCACAGCCACGTACAAACCCACAAGATTACTCATCACGGAAGACCATCTTACTCGTCCAACGAGGGATCGCCTAAGTATTTGGATTCACTTTCAATTTGTTTTAATTCATCCAGGCATTGATTCAGAGGAGACCCATTATCCTGAGCTAAAGCTGCTTTTGAAGGCATGGAGAAATATATTTGGGTGCCATCAGTATGGTGATAGCACCCCTGCCCCATGTCTCAGATCTCTTGCAGCGGTTTCAATGTTAAAAGGTATTATGTTAAAAAGCATTGGGGATAGAATGACATACTGTGGAATATAAGTTTCTTTTTTGAGGAACAGCTATCCTCAAGCACCACCTGGGGCCTATCTGAGATACAATTGGAACCACGGGAACATTGTACCTCCAAATTCTCTCTCTCACACACACACAAACGGTACTCCAGAAGGATACCGTTGATGGTATGGAACACTGCTGAGCCCAAAAGCACCAACAGCAACACACTCTCTGTCAGTGTTAAGATGGAGGTAATCCACTAAGGTGCCTATAGCCACCTCAACTCTGTATCCTGCTCTAAAGCTGGTTTGAAATTTAGGCGGTTCCACACGGAGCTTTAACCAGGGCACAGTCAGATTTCTTAAATCAGATTGGGCCCAGTTTGAAGTCCACACACTCTCCCCCCCCAAACATTCACACTTCCCTGGGGAGGGGGGGGGGTGTCCAGATGTCCTGCCGGACTTTCCCGGCCGATATTCATCTCTATGCACCAGAAGAGCTCCAGAGAAGGGGGAATAGTGGCTGAGTTAGTTATTTTCTTTTTAAAATTCTTTTTAAAAGGATTCTGGAAGGGAGTGGGGGCTGTCTTGGGTTTGTTGGGCTCCAGGAGCTGTGTAGATGGGCACCGGAAGTTATGTGACACGACCCCCAGATCCAATCCACACAGCACCTGCAACTGGTAAGACCCTGGTTTTCTGAAAGACCCGGGTCTCTCCAGCTGTCAAATTATCTCAGGACAAAGCAGGGTTTTTCTGCTTTGTCCTGAAGGAATACGTTTTTATGTGGGGCGTTGTTTGGGTGCCCCATATGAAAATGTGGGAAGGGGCACATTTTGGGTGCTGTCTGTATGCGCCCTTAGTCAGGTAATTGTGTGCCACCCCAGTTGGAGGGCAACTGCCTTCTCAATCACCTTGTCCAAAAAAGAAAGGTTAGACGCTGTTATGTAATTTTCAAGGTCCAGGGGATACAAGAAGGGCTTTTTCAGCAGTGGTCTAACTACTGCTTCTTTTAAACAGGATGAAAATGCCCCTCTCTGAGGGATGCATTGTGTTTGAGATGGAATTGCATCTCATCCCTGGACAACCAGTCAAGATGAGCAGGGATCGAGAAAACAGCTTGTCCTCTTTACTTGCCCCAGTAGCTTGTCCACATCAGCGGTACTCACCAATTGAAACTGATCCAGTGCAATCCCACTCATAAGAGTTGCTGGACACCCCATTATTGACTTTTGCTCCAATGACGGCATCTAAGTTGACTCTTATGCAGGATATTTATCAGTGAAATGATAATTAAAGGCAACACAGTGAGCTATGGAATATCTAACCGCAGCTCTGAAGGGGGAGATACTATAGATAGCCTAGTTCGACAAAATTGCAATTTCAAAAGTTCCCTGGGCGAGTAAATACAAGATACGCATCTCCCCTTATGAACCATCGAGGACTTTAAGATTGTCTGGGGAGGCCCTGCTCTTGGTCCCGCCTTTGTCACAAGTACGTCTGGCGGGGACGAGAGACTGGGCCTTCTCAGCGGTGGCTCCTCAGCTATGAAACAGCCCTACTTAAGGAGATTAGATCGGCTTCTTCACTTCTAACATTTCGGAAAAAACTCAAGACATGGCTGTTTGAGCAAGCCTTTGCAAATATTGGGTAAAGGACATAGGAAAACGGAACAACTATAAGATGGGACTGGACAATGTTTTAATGAGTATTTATTTTATTGCAGTTGTTATGATTTTATTGATGTTAGCGTTTTTATATTGTACTTGCGCTTTTGTGGCATTGAATTTTGCCTTGTAAACTGCCTTGAGTCACTGGAAGGCTGAGAGGGGCGATATACAAATACAATAAATAAATAAATAAATTTTAATTTAAAGCTGTAGTTTTGACACGTCCTCTGTCCATTTCCAAACAATAAGCCTATTAAACTTATAGTTTTAGAAACAGATGTATCTTTTTTTCTAATTTCTATTAAATAAATATAAACTTTTCTCTTCATTTGTTTCAATGGAGCTATAGAAACAAGTATTTGTTTTGGAACATGTCTGCAATATTGTTGTGACACTTAATTCACAGCCAGGAAATAAGAGGAGATTTCTAGTACAAATGTAAAAGTCAATAATCTTATTTGATTTGTTAATAATATAACAGAAGCCACACTCTCCTTGTTCAAGATGAAACACATTCCAAATGAATGAGGGGAGAACACAATTGGAGTATTTGTATTTCATAACCTATTGCAGGTGTTCAGAGGATGTGAAGTTACTTAGCACTGCAGCATAACCACTCTTTTATACATCTATTATTGGTTTACTTGGCATATATTTCTGGAATGCTGTTTTCATTTGAAGTCAACCTGCTATTCCTGAACTATTGGCATGCATTATTATCCATCCCGGGTTTGTGCCATATTCAATTCTGTTCAACAAATACACTCGATGTGTCTTGAGAGGCAGCCAGTTTCTCAATGGCTCTATTCATCACTCTTGTTTCCGGGATGTTGAACCTCGAGCACTTTTTGAGTGCACAAAGTCTTTTCAGGCTCACAATTGCTTTGAAATGACCTTACCCTGAAACTAGATGCACAGTTCACCCAAGGTTTCAAATTACACACAACACATCTACACCATGAACAGTAGACCAACATGCACCTGCAAAATCAGCAGATAACACCATGTTGTGGGTTAACTATGGGCAACTTTTATTATATGTTACCAATCCATCTCTGTGTGATCATCCAATCCAATTTATAAATCAACATAAACTTGAACAAGAATTTGAACTTGACAATGAATTTGAACATGAATTTGAACTTGAATTTGTTGTTAATCAGATGATGCGGTGGCCCCACATGACAAGGACGAGACACCATAATTCCACACCAGTACCTGCATGTGCACTGCCATACACTTGATGCCTAGGTGCTGCAGGGGGGACGCTCTATCTCCCTGCAGAATGCAGCTTTGGCATTTGAAGGAGGCTTCCTTAAGACAAAGAGAGGGCTTTTTTAAGGAAGCCCAGGGAAGGAATAGCAATTGACTTGGAGCTATCCTACCCTGGGCTTCCTTAAAAAAGCCCTCTTTGTCTTGCCTGGAGTGGTACCTTCCCCCCCTCACACTTTTCCATCTAGTGGCGCCCTCCCTTCTGCACTTCATCGAAACCAGCTGGTATTCAACAGCTACTGTTCTGTTGGGGTAAAAAAAAAAAAAACCCTTGGTGCCATTACGGCCAGCTGGTCAAACTGAACAAGCTGGATTGGCTGAAGGGAACGGACCAATCCAAATCTGTGAACAAGCCTAATCTCAACTCTCTTTTAAAGAAATACATACAAGGAAACAAGTTCGGAAAAGCTATGCTAGGATGAGGGATAAAATTGGTGGTGATGCAATTTCAGAATTCTTTAATATAACACACTTTAAGGAGGTTCCTGATGCCTACAAGCAGACAAATGCAATGGAACATCATTATATTTAGTTTATTGATAGTTAATGGAGAGATATTGCAAAAAAATAATTTCTTTTCATAAATAATGCAAATTTCAGCTATAAAAATAAAACGATTTCTGGAAGATTTTATACAACTCATTAAAATATAAATACATTTTTAAAAAACTAAAATCACTTTTAATATTAGAAAATGGATGGTGAAAAAAGTTCAAGATTCCTTCAAGAAAGCCCTTTGCTCAGAGGTCAAGATGAAAACCCAGCAGATGGAAATCCTTTTCCCATGGATAGCTGTTTTCATCCAGCACAAAATGGCCTCTGATTGTCAAAAGATAGGTTGCTTTTGTGTCTGTAAGAAGTGCATGGCATAAATCAGCTACAATCATGCCATAGGTGGTATCTAAGGAAGGCTCTGCAAAAGACAAAGACAGGCACAGCTATCAATAAAGCTCTTTTATCTAAAAAGATGTGGATTTATTGTTGAAGGTTTTCATGGCAGGAATCACTGGATTGTTGTAGGTTTTTTCAGGCTATATGGCCATGGTCTAGAGGCATTCTCTCCTGACGTTTCACCTGCATCTATGGCAAGCATCCTCAGAGGTAGTGAGGTCAGTTGGAACTAGGAAAAAGGGTTTATATATCTGTGGAATGACCAGGGTGAGACAAAGGACTCGTCTGCTGGAGCCAGGTGTGAATGTTTCAACTGACCACCTTGATTAGCATTTGATTGCCTGACAGTGCCTGGAGCAATCCTTTTTGAGAGGTGATTAGATATCCTTGTTTGCTTCCTCTCTGTTGTTTTGCTGTTGTAATTTTTTTTTTTTAATACTGGTAGTGACTCTGTTCACCTTCATGGCCAGCTCCTTTCTGTTGAAATTATCCACATGCTTGTGGATTTCAATGGCTTCTCTGTGTAGTCTGACATGGTGGTTGTGAGAGTGGTCCAGCATTTCTGTGTTCTCAAATAATATGCTGTGTCCAGGTTGGTTCATCAGGTGCTCTGCTATGGCTGACTTCTCTGGTTGAAGTAGTCTGCAGTGCCTTTCATGTTTCTTGATTTGTGTTTGGGCAATGCTGCGTTTGGTGGTCCCTATGTAGACTTGTCCACAGCTGCATGGTATACGGTAGACTCCTGCAGAGGTGAGAGGATCCCTCTTGTCCTTTGCTGAAGAAAGCATTTGTTGGATTTTCTTGGTGGGTCTGTAGATAGTTTGTATGTTGTGTTTCCTCATCAGCTTCCCTATGCGGCACACTTTCCTCTGGGTAGATCTTCATCTTGACTCTCGTGGCTTGTTCTCCGTCTTGCAGCTCTTCTGATGTCTGAGGTGGAGTATCCATTGGCCTGTAGAGCCAAGTTTAGGTGGTTCAGTTTCTCACGAGGTGGCGTTTGTCATTGTATTTTTTATGGTGTCAGAAGTGACTTGAGAATATACTGCAAGTCGCTTCTGGTGTGAGAGAATTGGCCGTCTGCAAGGACGTTGCCCAGGGGACGCCCAGATGTTTTCATGTTTTATCATCCTTGTGGGAGGCTTCTCTCATGTCCCCGCATGAGGAGCTGGAGCTGATAGAGGGAGCTCATCCAGCTCTCCCCGATTCGAACCTGCGACCTGTCGGTTTTCAGTCCTGTCGGCACATGGGTTTAATCCACTGCGCCACCAGGGGCTCCATGTGATACCTATTGATCTACTCACATTTGCATGTTTTCGAACTGCTAGGTTGGCAGGAGCTGGGGCTGATAGCGGAAGCTCACGCCACCTGCCAGATTAAAACCTATGACCTTTCGGTCAACAAGCTCAGCAGCTCAGCGCCTTAACCTACTGTGCTACCGGGGGCTCCTCTTGAATAAACATCTAACAAAAGGGGGATGAATAAATAGAAATCTACTGCATATCATCAGTTTTTCTTTATCGTGTCAGAAGCAACTTAAGAAACTGCACATTGCTTCTGGTGAGAGAGAATTGGCCATCTGCAGAGACGTTGCCCAGGGGACGCCTGGATGTGTTATCATTTTGTGGGAGGCTTCTCTCATAAGCTGGAGCTGACAGATAGGAGCTCACCCCGTCTCGCAGATTTGACCTGCCGACCTTCAGGTCAGCAATTCAGCTGGCACAAGGGTTTAACCCAAGGGTCCTCAAACTAAGGCCCGGAGGCAGAATACGGCCCTCCAAGATCATTTACCAGGCCCTCGCTCAGGCTCAGCCTAAATCTGAAACTACTTGAAAGCACACAACAACAACAACAACAATCCTATCTCATCAGCCAAAAGCAGGCCCACACTTCCCATTGAAATACGAATAAGTTTGTATTTGTTAACATTGTTCTTCATTTTAATTATTGTATTTTAAGTGTTTTTTGCACTACAAATAAGATATGTGCAGTGTGCATAGGAATTCATTCATGTTTTTTTTTTCAAATTATAATCCGGCCCTCCAACAGTTTGAGGTACAGTGACTTGGCCCTCTGTTTAAAAAGTTTGAGGACCCCTGGTTTAACCCATTGTGCCACGGCAGCTGCTATATCACCAGTTGAACAATTTATTTAAATTCATTTAACGCATTTATATTCCGCCCTTCTCACCCCGAAGGGGACTCAGAGCGGAGCACAACATAGAAACGGCAAACATTCAATGCTGAAAGATGCTAGACTATACACATACAAAAACATTAAAATCACTTATCTTGATGTTAAAATGGCAAACATTTAATTAGTCACTAAGTATGATTTGCTTCTTTGATTCAGTTACACAATGACCTGGTAATACACAATGCTTTACCTATAGTTTTGCTTTGCCACTCAGCTGGAATGTTGAGGAATATTTTCTCAATCAGTTCTGATATCACCTGGACACAGATTTCATATCCTCCCTCTTCTATGGTCATTTGTGCTGGTCTAAAAAAGTAAACAAGGACAGTCATGCATGCATTTTTAATAATATATTTTGTCATCTGATGCTAATAGATAGGATAATTAAGCATGTTACTAACTTCGGTCACACACTGTTATTCTGCTGGCATCTCTTTTTTTAACATATTGCCTTGATTAAATGATAAGACCCAAACAAGCAATCAAAATGTATTGTCGAAGGCTTTCATGGCGGAATCACTGGGTTGTTGTAGGTTTTTTCGGGCTATATGGCCATGGTCTAGAGGCATTCTCTCCTGACATTTCGCCTGCATCTATGGCAAGCATCCTCAGAGGTAGTGAGGTGTGTTGGAACTAGGAAAAAGGGTTTATATATCTGTGGAATGACCAGGGTGAGACAAAGGACTCTTGTCTGCTGGAGCTAGGTGTGAATGTTTCAACTGATCACCTTGATTAGCATATAATGGCCTGACAGGTTGAAACATTTATAGTTCACCTACAATCTAAGAGCATTTTGAACCCCATCAACGATAGAATTGAACCAAACTTTCCACAAAGAACCCCCATGACCAACAGAAAATACTGTGTTTTCTGATGGTCTTTGGCGACCCCTCTTAACACCCCTTTATGATCTCTGCAGGGGTCCCGACCCCCAGGTTGAGAAATGGTGCCTGAAGACCATCCTGTCCAACTCCCTTCACCAGGGCAAGAAAACATAACCAAAACCCCCCTGACAAAGAGCCATCCAGCCGTAGGTATAGATAGATAGATATGATTCACACACACACATTTTTTTTTAATTTACATCGCTTCTACCCCGCCCTTCTCACCCCCGAGGGGGGACTCAGGGCGGCTTACATGGGCAACAATTCAATGCCATAATATCAATACAGCAACATAAAATCAAATACATAAAAATTAACAATAACATTAACATATATATACTTATATGACAGATATAGTATTATAGTTTTGAAAGGGACCCCTAAAGAAGGACAATTCTATGTTGCATGTTCCAGAGTAGGCAAACCAGACAATCTCTCCATCAACACTGACAAAGAAACAACAAGAAATACTGTTTACCCACAAGCATAAAGAAATTGTATATATTAGAAACCAACACTTTCTCATTACTTTATTTTCCAGATCACCAGACTGGGCCACAGCAAAGCGTGGCAGGGGACGGCTAGAATTCAGATATATTGAAGAATACAATTCTGTAGTTAATCTTACAATACACCTTACAAATAGTAGTTCTGAAAACCATGCAATTTGAGATCAGGGCATGCTTGGTACACTTTCACACAGATGAATGTATCTATTTACTGTAGTTATATAGCTATTTATTCAAATACAGCAGATGGTGGGCATGTGTACGTACATACACTCAGGAATCTACTCCACCCAACATTCCATTTGTTGTTCAAATCCTAGAGTATCATGAAAGCGGAACGCAGAAGCTAGCATTATGTATTATCTAAATGTAGGCAACACGAGGAGCTAACATATGGCCCAGGGCTAAGCCGTAGCACAGAAAAGAGATTCCGTGGACAGGCTGAAATTAAGCTCTGAAAAATAAGTAAAGCAATAAAAACGAGAGTTTATAGAAAAAGCCTGTGTGAACAGCTGGAACAACAAGCCTATCTTATGATCCAAAGCAAATTCAAGGGGAAAAAAAATCAATATATGCTCAAGCATATCTAACCTTTAGCACTCCTCAAGTCAAGGACATCTTTCAGCTTTGAAGTCAAAACACTTGACTAATTGTGGCGCCTCACCAGCCCCGCTCTCTGATGCCAGCAATTAAATGTGTGCAGAGTCCTCTCCGCAGCCGAGCAGGCATTTCAGTCCCTCACTAATACTTTTAATCAGCTGCAAATAAATGGGACTTTCAAAGAGAAAGATATTTGACAAGATCCTAAATCATTAAAATACAATTATACAATTGCAGCCTCCTCGCTTCCTTCCTTCCTCTGACAAACCGATGGAGACTTTTGTGCTGCAGTATAGAGGGCATTTTGGTGGGGGCACTGCTGGGTTACTCCCCTCACACATCCCCCCTCTTCAATTTTAAAAGTCCTCACTGGCAATGTGTGTGTGTATGAGAGAGAGAGAGAAAAGAGAAATGTCTAGGCAAGGGGTTCTCAAACTGTGCTTCGCAGAGCCCCTGGGGCTCTGTGGGTGATAGCGAAGGGCTCTGTGGCACAATATAATAATAATAATTAATAATATTTAAAACAGGCTGTGGTCCGACCACTCCTTAAAAAGGTCTCCCTTGACTCCACGGTGCTGAACAATTACAGACCACTCTCCAACCTAACTTTTCTGGGCAAGGTGCTGGAGCGGGTGTGGTCACCTCCCAGCTCCAGGACTTTCTAGATGACATCAATTACCTGGACCAGTCACAGTCTGGCTTCAGGCCCGGCCACGGCACCGAGATGGCTTTGGTCGCCTTGATGGATGACCTCCGCAGGGAGCTGGACAGGGGGAGTGTGACTCTGTTGGTTCTCTTGGACATCTCAGCGGCTTTCGATACCATCGATCATGGTATCCTTCTGGGACGACTCTCTGGGATGGGTCTCGGGGGCACGGTTCTGTCGTGGCTCCGGTCCTTCCCGGAGGGTCGATCCCAGATGGTGACGCTGGGGGACGCCTGCTCGGACCCCTGGCCTTTGACCTGTGGGGTCCCGCAAGGCTCTATTCTGTCTCCCATGCTTTTTAACATCTACATCAAACTGCTGGGAGAGGTCATCCGGAGTTTTGGAGTTGGGTGCCATCTCTATGCAGATGACACATAACTCTACTACTCCTTTCCACCTAATTCCAGGGAAGCCCCTCGAGTGCTGGACGAGTGCCTGGCTGCTGTAGCTGTCTGGATGAGGACGAACAAGCTGAAGATCAATCCCGACAAGACAGAGGTCCTCCTGGTCGATCATAAACCGGATCGGGGTATAGGGTGGCAACCTGTGTTGGACAGGGTTACACTCCCCCTGAAGTCACAGGTCCGCAGTTTGGGTGTTCTCTTGGATTCATCACTGACGCTTGAGGCTCAGCCGTCAGCGGTGGCCAGGAGGGCTTTTGCACAATTGAGACTCGTGCACCAACTGCGACCGTACCTTGTAAAGGCTGATCTGGCCGGGGTGGTCCATGCCTTGGTCTCCTCTAGATTGGACTACTGTAATGAGCTCTACGTGGGGCTGCCCTTGAAAACGGCTCAGAAATTCCAACTGGTTCAACGGGCGATGGCCAGGTTGTTAACTGGTGCTCCTTACAGAGAGAGGTCAACCCTCCTGTTTCAGGAGCTCCATTGGCTGCCGTTCAATTGGTGGGGACGAGGGACAGGACCTTCTCTGTGGTAGCCCCCCGACTCTGGAACTCTCTCCCCAAGGACATTAGACAAGCCCCAACGTTGGCAGTCTTTAGGAAGAGCTTGAAGACCTGGCTGTTCCAGTGTGCCTTTCCAGAATAGGAAACTCCCAGCATCATGTTTCAAACGCACTTTATTAGAGATTTAAGATTGTCTGCAGATTGCACCTACTCTAAAATCCTTACATTTCACCTGTCATGTCCAGCACTTTTAATTTTATTCATTGCATTTGGCCCGGCCCTTTGTTTTTAAATGTGTCATGATGTTATTGTTTAATGTTTACTGTTTATTGCTTCAATGTTTATTGGTTTGCTTTTTTGAGTTTTTATTGTTGTATTTGTTATGCTGTTGTTTTATTGAGGGCCTTGGCCTTTGTAAGCCGCACCGAGTCCTTCGGGAGATGTTAGCGGGGTACAAATAAAGATAATAATAATAATAATAATAATAATAATAATAATAATAATAGAGAAGGGTTGTAGAAAGTCCATGCTGCATAAACCCCCAAGGCTGCTGCTATGGTCCCCAGTGTCTCCCTGACCTCACAGTATTTTGTTTGAAAATAATTCAATTCTTTTAGAGGAGCAATGGGGTTGCAGGGAGGGGAGTAGCTCCTCCAAAGTAGGTCCAAAGTTATCTTCTACCCAGGACTGGGTGTCCAACCTCAGTAACCTCCTTTTATACCTGGGATGTTGTTGTCTTCCACCAAGTGCGCAGCTATGGGAGGGATACACATGGAGTGGTGAGGGAGGAAGGGGACACCCGACTAGCCAGCCAGATCAGCTGAATCAACCCTGGCAGTCAATGGGGTGACAGATGTTGCAGCCAGATCGCCTTCACATGGTTATCTTCTAACTTCTTGCAGTTATAAGAGGCTGAGTTAGAGACTACAGAAGTGCTTACTTTGAGGCATAACTTTGTCTGTTGGTGGTATGTGTTCTTCAATGTGCTCATCTACAATCAATTCAGCTCCTGACCAAAAGTTTCCTACACAAATAGACACATGCACACACACTTTCATCTTTGTAAAACAGGGATAGGAATCATGATGGCTCTCCAGATGTTATTGGACTGCAACTCACAGCACTCCTTGTTCATTGGCTATATTGCCCAGTGTTGCTGGATGTCTCACTCCAACAACATCCTGAGAGGCGGAAAACATTTGATTCCCGCTTGGGTTCTAAGCGATCAATCTGCCCATTATTTCGTGTATTTGCTACTGACTGTTTTCAATAAAGGGCAGAAAGACAAGAAACAATTAAAGGGACCAGGAAAAGGAAATGTGGTTTTAATGTAATTTTTTGCATGCAGTTTCCTAAATGAGACAAATAGGCACTCTTTGAAATGCAGACAAAATCTAGTACTTGTCTTTTAACCATTCTACGCAAATAAAAAGGCTCGGTGCTTTGTTAGGTGGTAAATAAGGTTAACTCTTTAAAAACAGGTGTTAAGAGACATGTTAGTGGTTATAAATGGAAAACTGACACAGGAATAAACACAAAGAAATACATAAAAATACATAGGTCCTCAGGTGTTTTGGCCTACAACTTCTAGAAATCCCAGCCAGTTTACCAGCTGTTAGGATTTCTGGGAGTTGAAGATCAAAACATTTGGGGACCCACAGGTTGAGAACCACTGCATTAGAGGCTTGTCGGTGAGCTTC